CAATTATATTTTAATATGTATATTTCAATTATGTATATTATATATATTATATTAATATAAATATATTTATTTCAATTATGTATAATATTATATACATTATATCAATTGAAATAAATATTATATATTTATATAAATACATTTATTTATATATAAATTTATAAACATATTTATTCAATTTTGTTTTATAATATATATTAATATGTATATTTCAATTATGTATATTATACATAAATTATATTAATAATAATGTATATTATATATTTATATATACATATTATAAATATTTTATTTTATTTATAATATATTTTTATATATTTATAATATATTTACATAAATATTATATGTTATATAAATTATATATAATATAATATATAATATATTATACATTTATATAAATGTACATTTATACATAATATATAAATATTTATGTATATTTATAATATATAATATAATACATTTATACATTTATATTAATATACATAATATTAATTTTACATTTATACATAATATTAATACATGTATACATTTATATTAATTATATTAATACATTTCTACATAATATTAATATATATTTATAATATATTAATTTATACATTTATATAATATTCATTTATAATTTAGACATTTTTAATAATATACACTTATACATTTAAATATAAATTTATATTATGTATTATATATAATATAATACATTTATACATTTATATTAATATACATAATATTAATTTTACATTTATACATAATATCAATACATATATACATTTATATTAATTATATAAATACATTTCTACATAATATTAATATATATTTATAATATATTAATTTATACATTTATAATATTAATTTATAATTTATACATTTATAATAATATATAATATATTTATAATATTCATTTATAATTTATACATTTATAATAATATACACTTACACATTGATAAATATATTTATATTATGCATTATATATAATATAATACATTTATATATTTTTATATGAATATATAAATATATTTATTTATAAATATCTATAAATGTATTATAAATGCACAAATGCATTTTATATAAAAATATATAATTTATAATTTATACATTTATATAATATTCATTTATAATTTATACATTTATAATAATATACATTTATACATTTGTAAATATAAATGTATTATAAATGCATAAATGTATATGTATATAAAAATATAAAAATTATAATATTCTAAAAATACTCAAAAATACTTCTAAAAATAATCCAAAAAAATCTACAGTAACATTTTTTCATATAGTTTTTGAAAAACAACCCCAAAAACAACTAATCCAAACGGACTTGTTTTTCAGATTCAAAATGCTATAGTGGTGTTTTTGAAAAACAAACCCAAAAACAGCTAATCCAAACGGATTGGAATGGTCTAAATTCTGAGATGAGCTGGGCCAAAACGTTTTTTTTTTTTCTCTTACCCCTTAAATAGAAGGAGATATTGCACAAAATTAAAAAAAAAGAAGAGGAGGAGAGTGTAATTATGAAAATTGGGGTTGGTTTCCACTCCCAAAATGCCAATCTACATTTGCATGGTTTAATTTATATAAATCTAATAATCATTTTATTAAAGTTTTAGTACAAAAATTTATCATTTTATCATAATAATATAACATCTTCCTTATTTCATACAATATATTTATATAACAACAATAACATAGCATTTATTTTATATTATCATATAAAAACTTACATATATATATATCTGTGTGTGTGTGTGTGTGTGTGTGTATAATGTTATATTAAAATATGGGTGGACGTATGCTCCGTCCGCTACCCCATTTAATGCAGGGGAAGAAAACTTCCACTTGCTCCGCTGCCACCCGCCTTATTCCTCCTTCTGTGTGAGACGTGCACTTGCCCGTTGTCATCTCTACCCCTCACATAATTATTGTTTTATTGGAATCAATTGTTCAATGGCAACAAAATTGGCTATAATTACTATAATTTATTTAACTAGACGGGGTTTTAATATGGAACTGATAAGTATGTTGAGCTTGACGGGACTTTCTGCGTCAAAAGCCTCACAGTTCTCGCAGATGAAATATACCACATTCCACAATTACGGATGGCAACGGGCAGGATTGAGGCGGGGGACCCCTTCCCCATCCCCCGCCCCGCTGCCTACAAACTCCCTCTGCCCCCGTCCCACCCCGCCTCGCTTTCCTTGCGGGTGCTCTCGCGGGACTAATAAAAATTTGGTATATAATTTTATTATGGTTAAATTTTAGCAAATAATCAAGTACTAAATATCATCAAATTATTATTCATTGTAATTTTACAATTGAAACTTATAAAAACAATCAAACAAAAATTATTTGAATACAATGCAGCATGATGAAATAAATATAACTAAAGTAGTCAAGTTTTCACTTTTGGCACAAATACAATCACTAATTCATTATTGTGCTTGTATTTTTTTTAAGAAAAAAATATTATTATATTAAGTGTAATTAGGAATTTTGTATAAATGTATTAGTAAATTTAGTATTACCAATTAATAATTTGTATTAGTACACATATATAATTATTAGTATAATTAATAATATCAATTATATTATATATACTAATAAACATTATATAATACATATAACTAATAATTTCATTATCATAAATTTGTAACTAATTAAATTATATATTATATATATAATTATATACATATATATTATATATATATATATTTTTAAAGCCGGTGCGCGGGGCCACCCTATCCACGATGAGTGCCTCTTAAGAGCAGCTCGACGGAGCGTAATTTTTTTTTGAAAAAAAAAAAAATCAAACTGCTCGAGAAAGCTTAACAATAATATAAAAATCGTTACTATTTTTGACAATCCCAATATGTAGGTAGCAGAGTGTATTTTTAGCAGAGAATCTATGGCTGAAAATAAGCATCCGGTGCTAATATATGAAAAACGCTGTAATAATTGCACCAAGCCGTAATAGTTGACGCTGCTCCTACTTTCTCGTTCTTTCGCCTGTGATGAGAAGATTAAGAGATACCTACGAAATAACCTCGAAACTATCAAGGAAAATGGTTTTGTAAATTGTGTGCTCACCAATCACCACAACCGATAATATTAATGCATAAATCGAGCCTCCTTATTTTGTACTCCCTCAGTCCCATTTTGATAATTTTATATTTCTTTTTCATCTATCCCAAATTATAATTCACTTTTCAATTAAAAAATATAATTATATTTTAATTTTTCTAAAATACCCTTATTCAATGAAAGTAGTTGTTACTATAAATCTATCCCATTTAATGAGAGTTGATTCTTTTTTTACCATCAATTCAAGTTTACATAAAGTTATACCATATTTAATATGAGGGTATTTTAGAAAAATAATAATTTAAATTTATTTTTCTAATAAAATTAATTATTTTTTTAAAATTATGTAAAAAAAGAAATGAAACTATCAAAGTGAATATAATCCAATTAATTCATCACCAACACCCTAAAGGTAGAAGAACATAAGGAGGAAATTTGACTTTGTATTAAGGTCTTCTGGAAACTCATCATCATGCACGCAGAAATATTTTGCTTCCTTAATTGTGAAATCCTTCCCAAAAAAAAAAAAAGAACAAGGCATCACATGCTCTAGTTATCATCTGATTTCTGATAAGTCGGTCAGATAGACGAAATTTTGACCAAGAAGTTGGATCTTTCTAACATTTTCTTGCTTCACTTATTAATAGTAATAAAATAAATAAACAAACATATATACGACTATATTGACATCCTTTTTGCCTCCACTTCCAAGTTCCAAGTTCCAGCCCACAACTTTTAACCCTTTCTGTTTTCACCGATATGTGAGAAAGTCACCATCTTTGGTCTTGTCATTTAGCTCTGCCACAGGAGAGGAGAGGAGAGGAGACTGAATTGGGGCTTCGCCAGCCCGCCAACCATTCTTTTCCAAGCAAATGGCACACTGTAAGTTGTAGTGTTCTCGGGACATGCGCTTTAAGCAAATAATTTCTTTAAATTCGTAACCGAGGCAATTTTAACCGAACGAGGCACAGCACAAAAAATTGAATTGAAAAAAGGTTCATAGGGTTTCAAGATCATCAAGAGATAGCAATTACTCCCTCCGTCCCACTTTGATAGTTCCGTTTTCCTTTTTCGTTTGTCCTAAATTATAGTTCACTTTTCAATTGAAAAATGTAGTTGTATTTTAATTTTTTTAAAATACCCTTATTTAATGTAAGTTATTGTTATTATAAACCTACTCCATTTTAATGAGAGTTGATTTTTTTTTTTACCATCAATTCAAGTTCCCATAAAGTTGTACTCTAATTAATGTGAGGATATTTTAAAAAAATAGCTACCTAAATTGATTGTTCCAATAAAATTAACTAATTTTTATTAAACTGTGTAAAAAAAGAATCAGGACTATCAAAGTGGGACGGAGGGAGTAACAAAAGACCATTTGAAAATCGAACTTCAATCTCCCTCTGTTTCAATAGTGTGTATAACTTTAAGCCAACAACAATAACTTCAGCGTACTAGAATTATACTAAACGGACAAAACAATTTGGTTTACTTTTTGATGCACCAGATATAGTCGTGGCTAAGACTCTGTGAGCCCCGTTTAATAAATAAATTTTTTGATTATTTATCTCAAAGTTTACTGTAATCTGCTATAAAAGTTATAGAAAAAAATTTTTAAAATGTATCGTTTAAAAATTTTACAATAATTAAAATTATTTGAAATTTTATAAAAGATAAGTTTGACTAAAAACTTAGTTTGACAAACAGGTTATACATCTATCTAGGAAAAAGTTCATTTCAAAATCCAAAATTTTAACTTATAATGAACATTTCTAAAAGCAGTCAGCAGGCAGGGTACTCAACCAAGTAATGCTGATGGGATAAGCACTACTGGTACGTACGAAGTACAGACACAAAACAATGCACTATGAAGACTGCATAAAACAGCACCACGCCACCAATGCCAATAGCCAATATCGTCGTCATCCACTGTGGAAAAAAAGCTTTAAATGTGGAGGGCAGACTAAATGGCCACTCTCCAAACACAGCTCCCAATCCCCTATCCCAAATAAGCTCTCCCACTCTCCGCTGCTGTTGCTGTTTCATTGGTAACAGTAACCTCTAACCCCCTCCCATTCCCAGGCAGTCTCTCAGTTTTTCTGCAGGCGCCGTTTCTCTTTTCTTGCACCATTCTACTACCACCACCACCACCACCACAGTCCTCCTACATGGCTATTATGACTGCTAGTACTGCTATTCCTATTTTTATTTCTTTCTGTCTGTCTCTCTCTTCCTGGAATCCCTGATCATTATATCATATCTTTCTCCCCTTCAACTCAACTTATATAAACCAATCCCCAAAAAAAATAAAAAAAAAAAGAAAAACGGAGCTACATATATTTAATTCTCTCTTCAATTTCTTCCTGGAATCCTTCTGTCATCATCAACTCTTCACGACCACAATCTCTCTTCTTCTAACCCTTTAACCCCCACAGACTTCTTTCTTATACATCTGCATCCAAAATTCAAATTCAAGATGGTGATGTCCCTCTACTTTTTCTTCTTTTTTTTTTTTTTTCTTAATTTCTCTTTGCAAGTGAATATACAAATTGGGTCCTCCTATTTTTTAAAAGGCAGATAACTATAGTACTAGCTGATGGAGTTTTGGTTGTTCTTGATGAACGTTTTTGGTTTGTGCAGTTGGAAACTTCAACACTTCCTCAGTGGCTAATAGCCCTTTTGGGAGAGAAGTTCTTCAACGCCTGTATAATTCATGAGGATGCTAAGAAGAATGAAAAGAACGTATTTTGTTTGGATTGTTGTGAAGGCATCTGCCCGCATTGCTTAAGCGTTCACGCCTCTCACCGCCTCTTACAGGTATTGTTATTCTTTGAAATTCATCAAAATTCAGGGAAAAGGAAAAAAAAAAAAGCTCAAAATTATGCATGTGGTGATGTGTGCATCTTTTCTGGAAACTGGTCTTCAATTCAATTTTAATGTCTTGGTTTCAGATAAGAAGGTATGTTTACCATGATGTGATAAGACTGGATGATGCTGAGAAATTGATGGACTGTGGTCTTGTTCAGGTAAGCTAATTTCAAAAAAATGAAATCAAATTTCAAATAAAGAAGGACATTTCAACTTTGTCTTGTTCATCGCATTGCTTGTGTTCCCCTCTTTTGCAGTCTTACATCACAAACGGTGCAAAGGTGGTATTCTTGAATCAAAGGCCTCAAACAAGGCCATCCAGATTCTCCGGCAACACCTGCATGATCTGTGATAAAGGCCTTCAAGAGCCTTACATCTTCTGCTCTCTCTCTTGCAAGGTTCTCTATAAACTAATCCCCGAAGAACAGAAAAGAATTGAAAAACTGAACAATTTTGTTCCTTAGTCTTCAATCTATAACTATAAGCCCAACGAATAATTCTTCATTTTCCAATTTTTTTTGGCGACCCAGGATTTTCTCAAATGGGGTTTTCTTGATTTTGTGCAGCTACAGTACATACTAGGAACAGGGGGCAAGCTTCCGAAGTATGTGTACGAATGTGTGAATATAACTTTTCCTGAACCGGGTTTCGACGATGGACAAATGACCCCTGAAACGGTTCTTGAACCGGTCGCTTCAATTAGGACGGAGTCTGGATCGAGCGGTAGCGTTGGAAATGGTGGAGGAGCTAGCTGCCGGACGCTTGCTTGTACTGCCACGACAGAAATTGTGAGGAAGAAGAGGAGCACCATTTCTGCTGGCTTTCGTCCGGTTTGTGGTCCGGTTTTGGAGATATCGAACCGGAGGAAGGGTACGCCGCAGCGGTCTCCACTTTATTGATTTGTGTACGGAATACTGACAAGGGGAGAGAGAGAGAGAGAGAGAGTTGAGGTGAAGGGGACTGGGTGTAATTTGGTATTTTGTGTCCCTTTGGAGTTTGGAGGGTAACTTAAATGGATTGAAAAATGGTCCTTCCCATGTCCCAATTTTGTACATATCACCACCACCTCTCTCGTATTATAGAAGATTGAGTTCAATTGTCACACTAGTTATAGTTGTAGTATCGATATTCAAAAGAAAAGAAGGGCATTAGTAATGGTTACTACAATGTTGTTCTTTCTCTTCTTCTTCATGGTTTAATTGCTGTTGGAATTTACTTAATGGCCATTTTCTTGATACTAGTTTGTGTTCTTCTTTGAAGGGAGCTTACTTGATGGCAGTTTGTGTTGTGCTAACATCTACTCAGCTGAACTGCTGCACTTGATTAGGATGCTAAAAAATTGTCAGTCGGTTCTACAGGAAATTAAAAAAAAAAAAAAAAACAGAAGTCTGAGGTATAAGTTCATTTTTTGCTATTTTTTTTTTTGGGGTGGTATAAGTTGGAGTTATAAAGGGAAAGCATTAGGGAAGTGTTGAGTTAGAGCCTAGGAATTGGTTTTGTTTCTGCTGAATAGGGTTTTTGGTAGAGATGTTTGTCTACTTAAGTTTACAGCTAATTTTTTTGATGGTAGGAACTAGGAATTGTTGAATTAGTAGTTATTCCAATACTGAAGCTGGAAAGTTTTGGAACCGAGGCAGATTATTAGAGTAGTGTTTTCTACAAGTCAAGTAAATATGATTGAAGGGCATCCCTAGTTCTTGCAGTAGTAATGATCTGTTAGGCCTTTCGTTCCACTTTGATAATTTTATTTTTTTTTATTTTTAAGTTTAATTTTTTAAAGTAAGGGTCAAACAATTGTTGCAGCTCTTGATAATTTGGACATCACTTTGATAGTCTTTTCATCCGTTTTAATTAAATTATAGTTCACTTTTCAAATGAATAATATATAGTTAACTTTTAATTTTTTTTAAAATGTTCTAATTTAATGTACTATTTTGTTATCAATAAATATAACCTATCATATTCATTAATTACTTTTATTATATTCTGAATGGTGTAACTTTTCATCAATATTATTATTGCAATCAACGTAAAAGTACGGTGGTTAATTATAAAGCTAATATTAATGTAAGGGTATTTTTAAAAAATAGAAAATTATATTTATTTTTCTAATAAAATTAATTAAATTTTTTTATACTGTGTGAAAAAAATTAACATTATTAAAGTGGGATGGGGAGAGTAATTTATTTGTATCAGTCTCCTGGTGGTGTAATTTATGGCAGTTAAAAATATATTTCAGTTTTGGGATCTTCTTCCGGTTTGGCTTAAAATATTGGCAAGAATTTTATATTGGAGGACTAGTGAGATTGGTCTAATATCTGAAAGGCTGAAAAGCTGCAAAATAGTATTGGGGACAAGTTGAATTATGGCTGTATGACCCCCACCATCCTTCTTATTCTTGATGAAATCCTAGAATTGCAAACCACCCCCGACCCCTTATTTAGAACCTCTCTTCTCTTTTGTTTCTTTCTCCTCTTTTTCTTTCTTTTTTCCTTCCCTAGACCCGAACAGAGACAAAACTATTTAAAGCGAAAGGTTTATTCATGCATTCCCCAACGTCTCGTTCATATCATATTAATTTTCTTGAGAAGGGAAAGTCTTGACTTTCAATTATTGTTATGTAGTGTTTGCTGAACGTTGGTTGGTTCTACTTTTATATCCAAAATTCAAAAACAAATTTCAGCAATACTAATGAAGCTAATTTTGCATGTTTAAAGGCTTCAAGTATTTAGTTATGTGAGAATCAAAACTAACCCGGGTGGTTCAGACTTCACGTACGAAGTTTTGAATTCAGGATCTTTTATTTCTAATTTATCTCATCTTACAGTCCAATCCAATCCTACTGCCGCGAGATCGCACGTACTTGAATCCCACTTAACATAAAATTAAGGACTATCAAAGTTGTTAAATGTGCATTTACTGAGCTCAAACAATCCGTGATTTTATAGCTTTTGATTCCTTGAGGCAGTCAATTCTTGAAGGGCGGGCATTTTTCGTCCATGATTTGATGCCTCCAAGCTTTTCTTCCTCTTCTTTGTACCTGTCTTGAAATTCTGGTCAAGAAAGAGAATGCCTGAATGTGAAGGGAGGGAGGACCACAACGCTCAGAACTGCGATTCTGGGGAACGACATTACACTCAAGAATCAAGATGTTGTCTAAAGTATTTGTTGGAAGCTGCAATGCGAATTATTCATGGCAAACATTTACTATGCACTCATCAGCTTGTTATGAATCCATTCCAACGGTATCTATGTTGTATATCATCATGTTTGCTTATATGCCATCCATCATGTTACTAATTTCTACCCCAAAAACAAAAGCAAAATCCTTTGGAGAACAAATAAATTCCCAGGCATCCACATGGGATAGCTTTTTACTTAGGTGATCTACCACAAGCATAGAATAAAAAAAAGAGGGTAGAATAGAAACAACAAACAATTCAACATGGTGATGCATGTACTAAAGCAAGTTAGGTTAACAACTTATAGTAAAACGTGGTTTTGCAGGTGCACCGCAACGGATCTTCTGTCCCACACTCTGTGCCACTCTCCGTCCCATTTTTTATTATATTGCTATTTTTCCTTCATAAACATCATGTTTTAATTCCTTTTTATTTCCTTATGATCCAATAACTATTAATTGAGTAATACACAAAATTTAACAAACTCAAAAAATCAAAATGCATAAAAAATGATTTTTTATGAATTTTCTGCTGTATTTTTTAATTTTCTATTATATATTAGCTTTTTGAAACTGTTGTATTTATTTTTTACTCAATTAATAGTTATTGGATCATAAGGAAATAAAAAGGAATTAAAACATGATGTTTGTGAAGGAGAAATAGCAATATAATAAAAAATGGGACAGAGAATGGTACAGAGTGTGAGACAGAAGATCCGTTGCGCAATTGCACGATAAAAACGCCTCTATTCCTGCATGGCATCTCTTTTTTTACGTACGACTCATGAAGAAGACACTACTAATACATACAATAAATGTATACAACAACACAACAACAACACGCAGAAAGTCAAAATCAAAGCAAATTTGAGCACCCTTTAAGAATTAATATAATTCCACAATCAATCTCATCTAACCCAATTTCATCAGATCAAACACATCTGCACTATCAATTGCTCTCTACAATCAAAATTGTGAAGAGTGTGAGGGTATGAAGCCGCAATCCGTTGTCTGTTTTCACGTTCTTGCTGTCGCACGCACAGGCACAGGCACAGGCACATTCCCATAGGTTTTTATTGGTTTCTACACTCAATAATGGAGTAAGGGGCCGGCCTCACCATCGTGCAACACTTTATAAGACAACTCTTATTGGATATCTTGATAACATGCAAACCAGTATCGTGAGGTAAATGGCCTTTTTTTTTCTTTTTCTTTTTAATAGCGTATTCTTTGGAGAAAACATCGATCCAGCAAGACTGATGCGTTTTTTACATATATATATGCCCTTCACATATAAGAGGAGAGGAGATGTAAGTGTTGATTACTATAGCCTGCAAAAGCTAAAAGAATGTTTTAGTTGCCAAATGTCTCTAGGGTAATCAATTCTCCGAGTTTAATGGTTATCTTACCCTGGATCAAGAGGGTGAATAGATTTTAATCTTTTTTCTCAAAGACAATCTAAAAAAGCTATATGGTGAAGCCCGTACAGTGGATAAGAATGAAAAACTTGGAAAATGGATGGATCCAATCCAAGGCCAAGGGGTTGGTGAATATGGCTATTCATCAGCAGACCTTTTGAGCTACTTCCATTAGAATACAAGTACCTGTAACATTTAAGGAAATTTAAGACGTCTTAGCCAATTTCAAAAGCAGTATGATATCTTTGCAGGTTAAAGTAGGCTGCTGTTGACATACTTTCGGGATTCAGGACAAAGAGTTTCGGCAGGCATTTACATTCAGATTTTTTGGTGGTTGGGCTGTCACCAGTTCACCACGACTATCCAATACATGCAGTCTGAAACCTGAGAAAGCGTCCGGCTTCCCCTTCCCACTGTAAGCACAAATCTATCGACTGCTAAGGTGAGGACTTTCCAAGTCATGTTTCACTCTTTCTCGATTTTCAAACATTTTCATCATAGTAACATTTTACTTTTCCCCTTGAATAGAGAAACAAGTTTAGTTAATGGCGTGTTTAGATACCAAGCTTTTCAAAATATTTTTTTTTCCTTGCACTGTATACGTACATTTTTCAACTGCTTCTTTAAAATTTTAAATATCATTTTATCTTCCTTGTATCACGTCACAATAAAGTGTTACCTTGTTATTTTAAAGAATTATTCTAAATAATCTCCTGTCCAAATATTTTTTAATGGCTAACTACTCCTCTTCGGCAAAGTAAAAAAATCTACATCTTGCTTTCTTGTGTTCATCGATATCAAAATCATACGCACACATCAGTCCCCAAGTTCAAGGTTTAATTTCAATATTTGTCAAAATAACTAAGAAAACGGAAAATTGTATCGACATTAGACAAAATTTGAGAGGTTATGACAGGAAATGAATTACAGCCTGCATCTACTTGGATCGAATTATACACTTCATATTCCTCCTTTTCCTTTGTACGTGTTAAATTCTTTTTTTATGAAGAAAAATGAGCGCAAAAGTTGAGATAACGTGTATATCCTGCTCAAAGCGTTGGAAATTCTTATGTATTTTTGTCATCAAACCTTCACTTCTTTTTTTTTTGGGTGTGTGTGTGTGTGTTGGGGGTAGGGCTGTCAACGGGTCGGGTCGGGGCGAAATTCATTATTCCGGACCCGAATTACTATATCAGACCCGGATCCGACCCGTTTACCCGGCAGGTCTTTTATTCTATGTTCCGGATCCAGATCCGGCGGGTCTCAGATCCGGGTCGGGTCTGCCTGAACAAATTTAGCAAAATTTATAATTTCTAATAAAAATGAGAAAAAATATATTTGTAAACTAATTTCTAACTAATGCAAAGAAAAAACCAAATAAGAAAAGAAATCAAATTGACTTTACTCAAATACATCACCCTAATCAAATTATATTGATAAATATATATTTTTTAAATTATTAATTCATTTATATCTGAATTCGGGTCTAATACGGGTCGAAATACTATATTTCGTATCCGATCCGTTTTTTTGGTTTGACAAAACGGATCCGGATCCGGGTAACGGAATTAAATCCATATCCATACCCGCAATAATTTCAAGACCGGATCC